ATAATCTGGGGATTACAGTGTGCAGTGTATATACCAGTGTTGCCCCCTGATTGACATGTTTTTAAATTTAATTTTAGTTGATGTGTTCTTTTTTCACTGAAATAGAATGGATTTGAAAATTAAAAGCCTGAGGTAATGCTCTTCAGTACAAACACTCCTCTGGTCAAGCTGAGATCACCACTGTAGAAGAACGGCAGCTCCAGAAGTCTCTGCACTACAGTCTATCATTTGAGATCCTCTCTTGCAGGGAGGGGTTTCTTTCCCTGTTGATTCTTGACTCAGAAGGAGAGCAGTAGAGCAGGAGTCAATCAGTGATGAAGGGGCAGGCTATGTGAACTGTCCAATTTTCAGGCCATTGCTGGCTGAGACTTTTGTCTCTTCTGGTGTCTCAGCATGATTTACCTTTTCTGAGTACGATACTGGTAGCAAAACGCTTGCTGCATCTCATTTAGTACTTTCGATGTCCTGTGGCCTGATTAGCAAAGAACCTGAGAGATCCTGGAGCCATGAAATGGTGAGGTTGTGGATGGGAGCCCAGAGTTAGGGTGGATTCGGTGAAACCAGTTACAAGTATGTAGAAGTAATTCCTGTGTCTGGAGCCTCAGGTATTTAGTTAGCTTCAGCTCCTGAGGTACTCCAGCATTGGCCATGGGTCATTCACTCTCCCTTTTGCCTCTTGCTGTTGGCAAGGGTGATTTGGGGTCCCCAGAACTCTAGCTTCACTATTATAGCAGCAGAATCAAGTATCATCTTTGGAATTCACTGCTGGCCTAGAAACTCCATAATCTTAGGCATTGGAAGAAGCTTGAGAAGACCCTGAATATGATGCTTTTTGTAGCTTGTAGAGCACTAATGAGCTAGGTCTCTGCTCTCTAGCCTCAGAGTAGAAGATCTGGAATGTCCAAAGTTTATTAATGTCTGTAATGCAGGACCTCAGTGCCACAATGGTTCCACTTAAACTTGGGCTTTTTTGTATTTATAGTGATCTCCTCAATTTATAGTATGTTCTCATATTTCCATCCTCATGACAGGTAGTCACAAAAGTCCTGAGAATTCAGAGACGTGTAGTAGTGTGCCTCAGTGGAAAAAGGCTTCCCAAACAACTCGTGAACTCCTGTGTATTATACAGATCAGTGCAAAATAATTTCTGAATATACTTAATTATTTAGGTGGCACCCTTGCTCACAGACTAGGTTTGTGAGCACAGCCATAGAGTTTTGAAGTCTGACAAAAATGAAGCAAATATGAAAGTGTTATCAAGGACAGGGTAAAAATTTGTGAAGGACGAATTCCAGGAAGGGCTACCTGTTAAATTCTCATCGAAAAATACTGAAATTCAGGCATTTGCATACACATATACACGTGATATCCTTCTGAATGGAAAGGAATAGGTGTGTCATCTCTGAATTAAGAGCTGATTTAGTGTCTTGGTTGTTCATAGACAGTTTAAATATGGAAATGCTCTGCAATGGAATTTATGAAGTGGTGTAAAGGAGAAGCTCTAAACAGATATTTTGCAGTGATATCAATAGTTAGGCATGAAGGGTTTCCTGCTGAGGATGGATCAGAGGAGTGTGGAAAGGATGTGCAAGTGACTGACAGAATTCACGAAGCCAATAGCAGGACATACAACAGAGAGGGTCTTCACTGAAATTCAGGTAGTTCTTAGAGTAAGTGTGAAGTTAAAGTTGGGTTCTGATTGCTTCCTGGAGGTGATCAACACCAGCTCTGGCAACAATCAGTATTTCACATCCTTGTCAACCCATGAATTTTGTGTTCCATACTTGAGATCTAATTTGGATTATCTCTAATTATGCCCCCCAGTGTCATGGAGGTAAAATGTGCATTTTTTTTTGTACCAAGGATCAAACTCATGACCTATGCTTTCCAGGCAGGTGTTCATGCCACTGAGCTAAATACCCAACTTTCTCTTTGTTGTATGGAAGATATCCACATTGTTTCTCATAAAGTGTTGAATATTGTTGGAATTTTTCCATATTGTAGTGGCTATAATTTTTAAAAACAAACTAAAGGTGTCTTATGCAGTCTCTTTTCAAGTTTCACTTTGTCTGTGGGGTGTCTCAGCCAGGGTTTCTCTACTTTAGACAGCTCTGTAATTTAGGATAGTCCCAAATTCAAGGAAGAAGTCCTTCACCAGCCTCCCAAGATATATTCCTTATATCTGAATTGAAAGTGATCGGTTGGTGACAGTGAGCTATATATTACAGCTTGGGCCTGGTTCAATTTTATATACTTATTTTTTTAAAAACAGCATTTTCCACTAACATTTGAGTTATTATTTGTGTACCATATTGAAGGTTATTTATGTTTTGTTCTATGAAACCAAATTCGTGTTTCATAATGCTGCTGAAGTATATTAAAAACAAAGTACTCACTGGCCTAAATGAGATTTGAAGAGACATTCTCTGCAGCCTATCATGGTGATTGATGAGATTTTTTTCCTTTTTTCAAATTTTGAAAGTGGTAACATAAACAGAACAAGGTAGAATAAGGCCAACTAAGATCATACAGTGAAATTGGTACACAATTTCACAACAGGTTACTGCAATAACAGTAATAGGTATCACAGTATATTTTATTATCTTTATAATAGTTGTTCTTTCAAACACATATATCAAAATGAGATGAAACACAGAACATTATAGTACTTATCAAAGCAGAATTTTGAATAGAGCAATACCATTAATCAGAATAGAGTAAAACAGTAATAAAAATATTTGCCTTCAAAGAGATAATAGAAGGAAGTTCCCCTTATTTGTTATGGTCTGCTTCCCAGGACACACTCAGATTTCTGTCCCCCATTTGCTAACAGGGGATGACAGGAGAAGAGGGGTAGGGAAGTGGGATGTTTGATTGTAGGCCGTGCATCAGTAGGTTCACTATTGCTTAGTAGGGAGACAGGCTGGTTGTTTGGTTTCACAGCTTCCTAAGTTCCCACATGGCGTGGATCTCAGAAGCTACTGCTGGTTCTCCCCTGGAAGGGCCACATTCTGCCAGACTACCACAGCTTAAGGGGGAGAAGTGGTGCTTGCTTGCCTTCCAAGTGTCCTAACTCTAGCATGGCATGGATCTCAGGAGCTGCTGCTGGTTTGCCCCCTGGATGGGCCACAGTCTGCCACACCGCCACCACTTACCAGGGAAGGGAGGTGCTTGCTTGGCTTCTCAGTTGATTGATGGGATATTTATCTGTCTCTGTGCTTTGTGGATGCTGGTCCTGCAGGCTTCTCACTGTGATCTCTGCATTAGAGACAGTACACAGGGAATCTTGCAGTGACTCAGCACAAGAATCAGTGCTCCTATTTCACTGTTACATTAGCAGTGAGTTGCAATCTATCATCAAATTTGCTGTCTTCAAAAATGTGTATATATACAAAATTAATGACCAAGACATGGATTTAAATTTGAAGACATCAGTCTTCATTCAGCTGTTTTGTTTGGTTGTATTTGTTTAGTTTTGTTTTGTTTTATTGAGACAAGCTTTCTATATGTATATCAGCTGGATTTGAATACCCTATGGAGCCTAGAATTGCCCTGAACTCACTGAAACCATCCTGCCTCAGCCTTTTGAGTGCTGGCATTATAGATATATACCACCACACTTTGCTTTTGATTCAGATTTGTAGGAGAGAATTTAAGATATCCCAAACCTGGTGTCTCAACCTTCGTGTGAGAAATATATGTGTCGTCCTTTAGGAGGTGGTGACCTTTGAGGATGTGGTTGTGAACTTCAGCCATGAGGAGTGGACTTTGCTGAGTCCATCCCAAAAGAATCTCTACAGAGATGTGATGGGCGAAACCTTTAGGAACATGACTGCAATAGGTAAGGACAAAATACTTTTGTCACTCATGCTGTCAGAATGTTGTATGTTGCTCATCAGTGTTGTTTCATTAAACACAATGTGAAAATATTTTTAAAAATAACTCAGACCTGGACACATTATATCATAACTCTAAACAAAATCTATTAATTTGTATGTATTATTCTAATGAGTGCTGGTATTTCTATATCTACAATTCAGGAGGACTTGGGGATATCCAGGAAGCTGAAAACGAATGCAAAATTTACTGGAGATACTTAAGGTAATTCGCACTCATAAGGAGAAGGAATGTTCCTGAGTAATTAGTGAGTCAGCAGAAAAATACCGCCAAAGAAATGAGGCACCATTCAATTTATTGTCAGTAATATTCTCCGAAGACGTATAAGGAGTTATGACATTCTCCCTTCAGTTTTTCTACCCATATATACATGTGAATACAACACATTCATCATCTAAACATTACTAAGATTGCAATAGAATTTTAAATAAAATGGAGTTCTTGTGTTTCCAAGCCATGCTCTAAAGAATCAGCCATTCTGACTAAAATTCTTGGAAGGCTGGTAGAATGTTAAGTGCACTCATTCTGAATATCAGTGTGCAGTTGTCTCTAGAAATTGATCCCATCGTACTTGTCCTAGATATATTTTTAAAAATTCAAGATGCACATAAAATACTGGTACATGCTTACTCTTTTACAAAGCAGATCAAGTTATAATAGATCAGGCCTTGAAGAAGCTTAGCTATCTATCACTGGATTTGTGGAGAAGGAAAATGTTAATGGACTCTCTGTGATTGTGCATTCTTGTAAATCCAGCACACTAAGAATCAGATTTTGCAGAATGGCAAATTCAAGTTCAAACTTCACGGCTTAATGATCAGTGAAAATCTCTTAAACACATTTAAAAAGCTATAGATTTTATGCTAATAGCTGTTGTTCATTCCCAGCATGGAAAAGAAAAAAATGTCTTATATAATGTCAAAAAATAAATAATATAATGTCATTTGCCATAAGAAATAGGTGGTTCTTTCTCCCATCAATTCGGTGAAATAGCTCAGCTATAAAACCTAAAAGTTCACAGGGTACCTTTTAGATGAGAAACCAAAATATAAATTGTGGAATGAAATGAAAGAGAGTTAATAGAGAAAAGTAAGAGTGACCATATGGAAAAGCAAACTGCAGGTTAAGGACAGAAGGGAGATTGTGATGGGGAAACATATCAGAATGATCTGTATGTGATACACATATGTACCCGTGCCGAAAGTGAAGCTAAAGATTCTGCATTTCAAAAGGTACCAAATTTTAAGATTTCCAAATGTGTACCAGTCTTTTGGGAATGGTTGTTTTCAACATGTCTTATAAGGCCATTCTGTTACTTCACGGTCAGAATTTCTTAGAAGGCATTAAAAACAGAACTTGACATTAATGCAGTCATAAAACTGAGACCCATTTCACTGTGAGTGTTTCTTTTTTTATTTAATGTAAGTAAAGACTAAAAAAAACCAAAATAAGTAGAAATGATACCACTTTCAAAGTGAAAATAAACACTAAGAAATCTAAAGACAATGATTACATATGCTACTCAGAGAAACAGTTAATGAAATACAAAAGTGAAACATATGAAATGGGGATTCAAAGAGCGAGACTGCAAACAGTTTTGTTCAAATCTCCAATAAAAACTTAGTAATATGGTTATCAATCTGATATGTGATTTTTTTTTTTTACAGAAATGACAAGCTAGGGAAATCCTATGGACATACATCTTGGAATCAGTGTAAAGAAGTATTCCCTTGTACTGCAGAAGGTAATGTGAATGTGAAAGAAGCAGAAACACACCACAATGTTCAGATCCATGAAAAATATTGCAGTGGAGAGAAATCCTATGTATGTCAGCAATGTGGAAAAGGATTCAACAAATCTGGACATTGTAAGCAACATAACATAATTCACACTGGAGAGAAACCCTATGTATGTAAGAAATGTGGGAAGGCTTTTAACACATGGGGATATTTTAGGAAACATGAAAGAATTCACACTGGAGAGAAACCCTATGTATGTAAGCAGTGTGGCAAAGCTTTTAACACACGGGGAGATTGTAAGAAACATGAAAGAATTCACACTGGAGAGAAACCCTATGTATGTAAGCAATGTGGGAAAGCTTTTATCACACATGGACATTGTAAGAAACATGAAAGAATTCACACTGGAGTGAAACCCTATGTATGTAAGCAATGTGGCAAAGCTTTTAACACACGGGGAGATTGTAAGAGACATGAAAGAATTCACACTGGAGAGAAACCCTATGTATGTAAGCAATGTGGCAAAGCTTTTAACACACGGGGAGATTGTAAGAAACATGAAAGAATTCACACTGGAGAGAAACCCTATGTATGTAAGCAATGTGGCAAAGCTTTTAACACACGGGGAGATTGTAAGAAACATGAAAGAATTCACACTGGAGAGAAACCCTATGTATGTAAGCAATGTGGCAAAGCTTTTAACACACGGGGAGATTGTAAGAAACATGAAAGAATTCACACTGGAGAGAAACCCTATGTATGTAAGCAATGTGGGAAAGCTTTTATCACACATGGACATTGTAAGGCACATGAAATAATTCACACTGGAGTGAAACCCTATGTATGTAAGCAATGTGGGAAAACTTTTAACACACGTGCATATTGTAAGGTTCATGAAAGAATTCACACTGGAGAGAAACCCTATGTATGTAAGCAATGTGGGAAAGATTTTAACACACATGGACAGTGTAAGGAACATGAAAGAATCCACACTGGTGAGAAACCCTATGTATGTAAGCAATGTGGGAAAGCTTTTAACACACGGGGAAATTGTAAGAAACATGAAAGAATTCACACTAGAGAGAAACCCTATGTATGTAAGCAATATGGGAAAGCTTTTATCACACATGGACATTGTAAGCAACATGAAAGAATTCACACTGGAGAGAAACCCTATGTATGTAAGCAATGTGGGAAAGATTTTAACACACATGGACAGTGTAAGGAACATGAAAGAATCCACACTGGTGAGAAACCCTATGTATGTAAGCAATGTGGGAAAGCTTTTAACACACGGGGAAATTGTAAGAAACATGAAAGAATTCACACTAGAGAGAAACCCTATGTATGTAAGCAATGTGGGAAAGCTTTTACCCAACATGGACATTGTAAGCAACATGAAAGTTCATATTCAAGATAAAACCAGTGTATATAAGCATCATGAGAATTTTTTGACCACAATTACATATTGCATAATGCATGAAAAACTTCACACTGGGCAGAAAACTTATATATCTAAGGAATGTGGGAAAGGTTTCAGCAGAAATGCTCATTGTCCAATACATGAAAAAATTTACACTGTTGAGAAACCCTGTTTATGTGAAGAATGTGAGAAAGCTTTAACCACACATGGAATTTGTAAAATACATCAATGACTCCACACTGGTCGAGAAACCCTCTGCATATAACAATGTGGCAAAGCTTTTACCACATACAGTCATTGCAAAACAGATGAAACAATTCAAACTGGGATTAATCACTCGCTACATAAGCAAGTGGAGACACTTTCAGCATCCAAATTGTAAGTGAAATACATGAAGAAACTCACACAAGAGATAAATCCTATGTGTTATGGGAATACGCTCAGCACACATGATCATTGTTACATATCTGAAAGAGCTCACTGGATCCTATGTGTATTAACAATGTGGAACATATGGCAATCCATGTTTGTTGTTAAATACATAGAAAAAGCAGCACTCTTCAGATAGTTTAGATCTAAGTTTGTTTTAAAAATTCCAAGTAGACCTGAAGAAATAATCGATACAGAAGTTTGATGTCAATATTTCTTCACGAATTTTCCAGAAATGACAAATGTGAAGTGGAGCTCTATTCAAGTACACATTTTGTATGGGTTTCAGTTAATCACTTATACCTCTTTAGATTTTTTAATGTGTCTTTGTGCTTCAACATGGCATCTTGTAATTAAACATGGTAAACTGAAATGGGCTTTTCACTTTCAAGTATGGATAGTGTCTATGTACTTAACATTTTGTTTTTAAAACTTAATTTTCATATTTTTGGTGAATTTTTATTTAAAGAAAAAAACCAAAAAGTGTAGAAATAATACAAAATTTCTGAAAAATAAACAATAAGAAATCACTAGTTGATTAACTACATATTGTCATCTTAGAGGTAATTGTTCAAGTTACAAAATTAAAGCATACAAAGTGATATTCAAATAACGACACTGCGAACAATTTACCTCAGTGATCCAAAAAAAAAAAACTTATTAATATGCTTATCTGTTCTACAAACTTGTTTTTTATCATAAAAACAGTAAAGTTAAACATGACAAAACAGAACAGTTCATAAGGAAACAAGTTAAGGAAACAGGTTTCAAGGCAAGTCCACTGAGATGTTCAATTTCTATCTTAATGTCTCTAGTTTTCTTCCAAATAGTTGTTCCCATTTTCAGAAGCATTGAACATATACTGAACATTATAGAACTAATCAAATAATTACAGGATGATGCAGGCTTTTTTGATCTTCAAGACTGATGTTGGGGAAGTTGATAATGATTACCATAATGTGTCTCATTCTCTTCATAGTAGATCTCTTTATTTTTATGTATGCTGAAAATGAACATAAGAGACTAAACTATTATCACTCTGAACAGTGAATAATAGTATCCTGAGAAGGAGAAAGGTGAGGAATTGCCTAAAAAAAGAAGGCAGAGGGCATTGTTAAAAGTGTATCAGGATTTAAAAGCTACAGTAGTTCTGTTGCTCTGTTTAGTTTGATTATATTTTGTTCTGGTCTGTCTACTCATATTAGATTTGAGGGCACAGAGAGGTAACCCAAAAATAGCAGGTTATACCATGATGGTAACTGTCCTTAATTTCCTATTAACTAAAACTGAAACCCTGTATTACTTACATTGTTGTACTATAACTGATCTTATTGGAAGCAGGTTTGTTTAAATGTTATTTGGCCTTGACTGATTTTATTCACATTTGGTATGCTTGCTGGTATCAAGTCCAAGAGTATAGGCCACTACTCTGAAGATGATAAGATGTGAAAGATATATATTGGGGGGCTGGGGTTTTAGCTCAGTGGCTTAAGCCCCTGCCTGGCAAGTGTTAGGTAATCAGTTTGATCCCCAGTACCAAAAAATAAATAAAAGATATAAATTCTAGGTTTAATTTTTTTTATTTAAACAGAAAAAAAGAACATAAAAAACAAAGCAGTAAAAGGGTACAAGTCATACAAAATTTCAAGAAAAAATACAGTAAGAAATCACTAGTTAATAGGTTACATATTGTCTTCTTAGAAACAGTTGTCCAAATTATAAAATTAAAGCATATAAAGTGAACATTCCTACAGTGAGATTCCAGACAGTTGCATTCAATGAACCAACAAAGCTCAGTAATATGGTTTTCCTTCCTACACACTCAAAGAGGCAATTATATCTCTTAGACTACCTTCCTTTCTTCTCTTCTTCACAATTACATTTACACTTTTGAGTTTTTTTTTTTTTACTCCCATAGTTCTTATTTCTTTTTTTGAAGAGAATAAAACCTCAAGTGAGTTAAAAAAACAGAGTTGGTTAGAACATAAGAATGGGCATAGTACTTGATGCAAAAATAGAATATCAGGTGATCAAAAATGGTTACCATTGTGCCTCTTGCTATTTTTTTTAAAGTTGCCATATCATCAGGTATAATAGAATTGATCAAAACAGTACAGAACAAGACCAATAAAATCTACACTGGAGACCTTACAGGATTTCAAAAGAAGATAATATTCAAACCATAAAGGGCATCATAGTAAATCTTATTGCCTACAAAGTGGTTGCCTATATCCTCAAACTTGATACTATCAAACAAAATAGAATATAGTAAAATCAGGCAGAACAAGATGGGGAGAGCAATACTGGGGTTAAAATCAGGTTAATAGGAAAACAAAAAAGTTACAATAATATATCCCGCTATTTTTTAATTTAGTTTTATTTTACTTGAAAAAAATAAGAAAACATAGAATAATTTTTTAAAAGGGTGGAGATCGAGATAAAAGAGACATTGTCATAGAACAACACAGGTCAGAACTGCACAATTAAAGCATTTTGTTTCACCACCAGATAATCTAACATAATATTAGTCACCATACTGCCTCTTTCCTTCAATTGTTTGAGAATAATGTCATATACTATAGAATCAATCATATCAAGACAGTGTGAAGCCATTCAAGAGAATGAAAGAATTACAGAGTATTTAGAGCCAGTTAACAGAAAATGGACAACGATTTCTATATTATCTCTTTGCCTGTGAAAAATTTTATTTATACTATCACATACAGTAAAATATATTAAGTAACAACATGTTAAAACCAGTGGTAACATGTACAACAGCTTGATGGGAGTTCCAAAGAAGATGATATTAAATCAGCACTAGCTTTTATGATGTGTTATTTTCCTCAGAATAGCTATTCGTACTATCACCAATACTAAAATCGAAAAACCCAGGGTAAAACCATTGCACTTAATACCATGTTGATTGTACTACAGTTGCTTTGTAGTATAACTTCATGCCAGGGATTGTGGTACCTCCTGCCTTGCTTTTGCTGCTTCGAACTGTCCTTGCTATTCTAGGTTTCTTCTCATCCCAGATGAATTTTAGGGATGATTTCTCAAGTTCTATGAGGTATGTTGATGGTATTTTTATCGGGATTGCATTGCACTTAATAATGAGTGAAAACATTATATGGATTCAAACCAATATGATTGGGTATCATGATTACCACATACTTCTATGTATTATCATTTCTTATACTAGGGATTATATTCAGTATTTATACATGTGAGTTTGATTTATTTCACTTATGAGTATGGTCTCAATCTGCATCTATTTATTTATATGTCAATGTGATCATTCTTTATAGCTGAGTAGTACTCCATTGTATAAAAACACCATAACTTTTTTATCCATTACTCAGTTGATGGACACTTAGGTTGTTTCCAAGATCTGGCTATTACAAACTGTGCTGCTATAAAAATGGGTGCACATATATCACTGTGGAATGATGCTTTCAGTTCTTCTGTGAATATGCCTAGAATTAGAAGAGCTGGGTCAAAAGGTGCTTCCAGTCCCAGCTTTCTGAGAAATCTCCAGACTGATCTCCACAATGGTTGCACCAGTCTACACTCCCACAAACAGTGCAGAAGAGTTCCTTTTTCCCAACAGCATCTCTAATATGTGTTGTTGGTAGTTTTCTTGATCTTGGCCATTCTTTCAGGAGTGAGATAAAATCTCAGTGTGGTTCTAATTTGCATTTCTCTAATGACCATTGATGGTGAACATTTTTTCATGTATTTATTTGTCATTTATATTTCTTCATCTCAAAATTGTTTATTCATCTCAGATGCTCATTTTTGGATTGGGTCTTTGAATTTTGGTGGTCTCATTTTTTAAAATACTTTATATGTTACAGACAGAAGTCCTCTGTCTGAGGGGCAGTTCACTAAGACTTTTTCCTAGTTTGTGGGTTTTCTTTTCCCTATACTGGAGATTTCTTTTGATGTGCAGAAACTTTTTTATAAGAGGTGATCCCAGTTATTGATTCTGGGAAGCATTTCCCAAGCAGTTTGAGTCCTGTTCATCAATTCTCTACCTACTCCTATGTCTTCAAGGTTTTTACCCAATTTGTCTTCCCATAGATTTAGTGTTTCTGTTTTAATATTTAGATCTTTGATCCATTTAGATTTTATTTTAGTACATGGTGATAGGCATGGGTCTAGTTTTAGTTTTAGGCATATGGAGAGCCAGTTTTTCACCACCATTTATTAAAGAGAATGTGATTCTTCCAGTGAACATGTTTGGCCCATTTATCAAAGATAAGGTAGTTGAGTGTGTTTGTAGTGGTGGTTGTATCTTCTCATCGATTCCACTGATCTTCGGCTCTGTTTCAATTCCAGTACCATGTTGATTGTACTACAGTTGCTTTGTAGTATAACTTCAAGTCAGGGATTGTGGTACCTCCTGCCTTGCTTTTGCTGCTTCTAACTGTCCTTGCTATTCTGGGTTTCTTCTCATCCCAGATGAATTTTAGGGATGATTTCTCAAGTTCTATGAGGTATGTTGATGGTATTTTTATCAGGATTGCATTGCATCTCTATAAAAGTTTTGGGAGAATGGCCATTTTCACAATATTTATTCTTCCTATCCATGAGCAAGGGATGTCTTTCCATTTTCTGAGATCATCTTCAATTTCATTTTTCAGTGTGTTATAATTTTCCCTGTATAGGTCTTTCACTTCTTTCGTGACAGTAATTCCTAAATATTTCATTTTTTTGGTTGCTAGTGTGAAGGGTGTGGCCTCTCTTATTTCCATCTCTGTGACTTTGTTGTTAGTGTATAGGAATGCTATTGATTTTTGAGTATTGATTCTATCCAGCTACATTACTGAATTTATTATATCTAGGAGTCTTTCAATAGAGCTTCAGGGATCTTCTATATAAAGAATCATGTCATCTGCAAATAATGATAATTTAACTTCTTCTTTTCCTATATTTAAGCCTTTTATTTCTCTCTTGTCTAATTGCTCTGCCGAGTATTTCCAGTAGTATATTAAATAGGAGCTGTGATAAGGGACATCCTTGTCTTGTGCCTGATTTTAAAGTAAAGGCCTTCAATTTTTGACCATTTAGTATGGTACTGGCTGTTGTTTTTTCATTGCTGGCCTTAATTATATTGAGGTAAGGACCATCTATTCCAATTTTCTGCAAGGCTCTTATCATAAATGAATGTTGAACCTTATCAAAAGCCTTTTCTGCATCTATAGTAATGATCATGTGATTATAACTTTTGGCTCTATTGATATGGTGTATTACATTTATTGATTTACATATATTAAACAATCTCTGCATGCCTGGGATGACTCCCCCTTCATCATGATATATGATCTTATTGATTTGCTGCATCCTATTTGCCAAAATTTTATTGAGGATTTTTGCATCCTCCTTCATTAGGCAGATTGGTCTATAGTTCTCTTTCTCAGTTGGGCCCTCCTCTGGTTTTTGTTCTAGAGTAATATTTGCTTCTAGGAACGATTTATGAAGGATTGCTTCCCTTTCCATTTCAGTGAAGTGTTTGCAGAGTGTTGGCATTAGGTCTTCTTTATATTTCTTGTAGAATTCTTCAGCGAATCCGTCTGGGCCTGGGCTCTTCTTTGTAGGTAATGATTTTATTA